TGCTACAAAAAATATAGTAACTTGACAGAAGTACGAAAAGACTGAAGTTGAATAAACACATGACGTTGCAAGTTGGACTCGGGCTCGTTTTGTAAGGAGGGAGAAGCAAGATCACCAGAATTTTCGCTGGCTTCCAGGAGCTTGAACCACAACAACCCTAAATCTTCCCCACTTTGTTCTTTTATACTCACATTTCCGGTGGTAATCCAGCACCATAGCTGCCAAGAGCATCTCCTTGAGATCATAATCAGCATCTTAACCGTCTTTGATTGTTGAAGTCATTTCGCGTGTTGTTGCAACATTGTAAAACTTCGTTCAATGGTTGGTTGCTTATAGTGTATCTCAACTGCAAAACCAACAGCAAAAGCTAAATGTCGAAATACTTAAGATTATTTTTCAAAATTACCATTCTAAATCAAGGATGAGGTACGCAGAGCACAATTACAGTGCGCTCCTTGATTAGCCAAAAACTTGAGAGAGACGCTTCGTAAAAACTTGGGGAGTATGTTATCTTGATGAAAAGTCAAGTTTCAAAAAGATGAAGAAGGTTATAGAATGAAGGTTACGAACCAGAAATCCAAGCTCTTAAGAAAAACAAATTTCCATATTTACATCTTCCATTTCGCTCAAAGACCCATCTGAACTTACAGTAAGGAGTCTAACCGTTTGCTTCTCTTGCGACGAAAACTATTCCTCTAATTGTTGTGACAAAGTGCAGTTGACGTGGTGAAGACTCAATCAGGCTTCCGCTTGAGAATTGTGCCTCAACTTTTTAAAACCATACCATAGTTGCAAAAATTGTGTAAAACGGAAGTTATCTTGCATCTGTTGTGGGAATACCCATTATGCGCTTCTTTGCGTACAGAAAGGCAGGCCTAGCCGACACCACAACGCTCACCACAATCTCCACAAATGACACTCAAATCATCAATATCCGTAAGATCACGCCATGAAAGACTAGTTAAATAGAAATCGATTCATGTGCATAAGCACTGAAGTTTTAAACCCAGAGGAACCGAAACTAAGTCAAAAAGCTCTGATATTTTTTGACTCACGCAGTGAAAGGTCTTTCACTCATAAAGAGTCCGCTCAAAAAACTAAAATTAACAAAACTTTCCCAAAAACCTTTACGTCTGGTACTAATTGGCTGATTGGCCATGAAGTAACAAAAGCGTTTAGAACGTCAAGTTTAGATGCCTAATTACAATTACCAGATGGTGAAGCGACAATTAGTATTGCAATTAAACACTACTGCTGATACTACTCAAGACCTAAACATCAGCCAGGACGTTAATGACGGACACTTTCATCGTAAAGCGGATTTAGAAGACGATCTGAACTTAAAGTGAGCCAAACTCGATTACGAGCATATTACTTCTGACTTTTTTCTGAGAATAAAAACCATATATAGAGAGTACGAGCGTATATAAGGAGTGGGAAAATGTGCTTGTGAGAGTGAGAATGCAGAACAATCTTCTGGTGTAAAGTCGTGAGCTGAAAGATTTGGAAAGAAATTCCCGTTAGTAGTAAATACAGTGACTGAGTGGAAGGCGCAGTCCTTAATACTCGGAGTTTAGCTATTGTTGTGAACTCAAATTGGATTCTTTTGACGCTGCTCTGTAGCTACAATCTTGATTTGCTCGCTTTGGGTAACTTTTAATGTAGTCCAAGTTTTGTCTGCGATGTAATCATAGCCTAGTATTTGTGCAGTATTTTGTTTACTGCTGATTGGACGTTCAAATTTCATTGATCTGCGTCTTTTTTAAAAGTAATATTTTTTTCCTATCGCTCCATCAAATCAGCCAGTAAAAGAGGAGCAGACAGCGTTTGAAAGGCTTAAAGTTGTTCTGCTTCAAAAGAAGAAAAAGAAAACTCAAATAAATACTTTAAAAGAGGCAAGGATGGGCAAAAGATTTCGCGCTGCAAAACCAAAAATTAATTTTACATGATGTTAAAAAAGATTTTGTATGCTTTTACTACCTTGTTTATTCTATTTAGAGATCTAAGTGCATTATTTTCTTGTATTACTTTTTAATTACTACTCACCTTGCTTGGATACTCTGCCTTAACGCCTCACGCTTCATCCCCACCTCACCAGAATTATCCACTTCGCCTAGGCGTTGGTCCTGTTCCAGATTCCAGAATTTCAAGATAATGTATAAAAGAGTACAATTGCACTGAAGTTTGAGACCATTAATTGTTTAACCGCCTCGTAAGCGGAACCACTTGAAAAGGCCACAGAAAGTACCACGTCGCAGAAGGTCAAGACGAGGTATATCAAAAAAATGTTGGAGTTTCATATCTAAACTTTTTTTTGTCGTCGGCAGTCAACCAACATCCTTCCCACCTTTCTTTCTGTATAAATGCTCTTCTTTTCTAGCTGCTTCGGATTTTTATTACTCATTTGTTTAATTTCTTTCCACTTGTTAATATTTCCAAGTTTTGATTTATAAATTTTTTATCCTTATTTTGATTTTTACTAGTCTGGGGAAGCAACAGTTTATTCCTCAACTCTCAACTATAGCTGAAATAGGGAAAATGCTACCTTCAGATTTTTTTATTTTAATGCTACGAGGGTTTTGTGAATAAACGAGTTAAAATTTTTCAATATGTCGCTTATCACATTCTTCAATTCATACAGCGATTTTTCGCTCATAAGAGCCAACAACGTTTTCCAACTGTTCTCACCTGAATAGTTGTTCAATACGAATTTATCAGCATAAAAATTAAGCAGTCCGCGCAGCAAGTTAAAAGCTTGGTAAAGCCTGAAATCTATATAAGAGCAAGTCAGTTTTTGGTAGTACAAGTGGTAACGTTTAACTGCGTTTACAGTTAAGCGTTGTAAGAGTTTGAGGATCCTTATGAATATTAAAGGAGAGCCGACGCAGTGATAAGCCAACTTCCAATTTTAGGGACGCTGTCCGTCAGCCAATACAGTATTTCTCTTTGTATTGTGGCTACACCAACACTTTCCTAAGTTGAGGCACTGCCAGTACAGCAGTCCCCCGTACACACCCTACGTAAGTCCTTCTCGTAATACACTCGATTAACTGTGACCGTCATTAGCCACTTACGAATCACAACTACCAACCAATACGGACTGTAGCTTAATGGACTGTATTTACCACTTGAGTTCTTCAACTTATATGTCTCCAATCTCCTAAACTTCGACGTTTTGCGTACCTTCTCGGAAGAGATCTTCTTATGTTGCAGCCTTGTCTTATACTTAATCCTTTTATTCTTACTTTACCTTTATACGTTACAAATAGAAAATCTTAGTGACTCGCGTCAAACACTCAGTAATATACCAAGAAACAGTGATTACAAATAAAGTCCAATAAACAGAGAAAAAACTGCCTACTGGGCACGTAATAACAGATAGAATATAGTATGGACTGAGGTCGAGAATCACAGCCGACGAATGAGTCAAACAATACTTAATAGAACTGACGAGAGAACTCGAAAGAACTAGTAAAAACAATAATTTTTTCTTGATTACTGCCCCTTTTATACCTGGCTTCCGTCTGATTAAGTAATCAGCTTGCAGCCCCTCCTGTAGCTTCCCCTCAGGGAGCTACAGTGACCTCAAATGAACCTACAGTGCCTTTCGCGAGCGGTCGCGACACTTTGGTCCAACCAGAAACCAAGTCAGCGGGCTAAGCTCAGGACTGTTTCCCGTTTCTGCGCGTTTTTAACAAAGATCATTATTTTGTTTCTATCACTTATCTGACCCAGTGATTCTCATTGTAGACAATATTACCGCTTCCTTCCTCCTATAAAAAATAAAAGCTTTTGAAGCTTAGAAGGGCGGTGAATGACCTTTCAACTTCATTTAGCCAGGAAGAATAGGGGACTTTGCTCTTACTAAACAACTGTCACATTTGACTACAACTTCAAGACCTGCCTTGAACCCCAGGCTGTTTAGCCGTCGGACAAGGCCTTTACCGTTAGCTTTATAAGGTTACGTTGTTTCGGATTTCTATCTCTCTCGGTTCTGATAAAGTCATTTGGCTCTTTATCAAAGAGAATAAAGGCTGAAGTTTCAAAAATCGCCTTCAACAAAATATCAAAAAATCTGAAAATGGAGGTCGGACGAATCAAGGTTTTCGCGTGTTACATCCCAATGGCTCAAATTCCAGTGAAAACTTTCTGCCCATATCTTTAAGTTTTCACTGTTTCCTTAAAATGAAAGCACCAGTCTTCCGGTGTTTCAGTTTTGTTGCATACTTTTTCAAACCTGTTTCCGATTAGGTTCGACAATTTACGTCATAATTCAGGCTTTAAAAATCCCTGCAATTCTTTTAAAAGCTGATATTGAGGTAAGGATTGTTGACAGGGGTTTCATGTTAAAAATTCCCTCGTGAAATAAGTAGGGAAAAACTAAAGTCTACGCCGCGTGGGCGAGAAGGTAACGGATAACAGTGTTAGAAGGCGCCTGGACTGCTGGGATGTTGTGATCATCAGTTGAGGTTAAATTGAATAGGACTTTGCTGTCTGCTTGTCAGTTCTATGTTTCCTAATATTTCGACTTATAAAGAGTAGCCATTTTTCTTCTAATTCTTTTGTTCTCTTGATACCAGGATCCTCTTTGCGTTTCTAAATAAAAATTGGGAATTAACAGTACCTTACATTACGCTGTGAGAAATTTCCATGCCGAATTTGGTGTCTCAAGGACTACTGCCATAGTTCCGCCACTTGCTTGCGTTTAGAAAAAATCAGTGGACATTTAAAGATTTAAAATAAATTGGATGATGGCAGAAAGTTACTATACATTAGAGGAATAAGTCAAAGAGGCTAAAGAAAAATAGAAATTCATTATTTTTTAAATTGTAATCCCTTCTTTTCAAAAAATCTCGATGGCAGAAAAGAGCTATGACAGCCTCTGCAACTGAGCACGCATTCTGGGTATTTTGCTTCTAAACGTTCGGTGAACAGTAAAATTATTGTGAAATGCAAGGTACTGCTGGCAGTGGCAAAGTTTTATTTAATATAACAATCTGCTTCACGTTTCCGAGGAAATAACAATATGTTTGCGTCTTTGGCTACTCACCGGTCGATAACTGCTATGATTATTTGTCCATGGGCCAAGACTCTCGTAAGCATAATAGTCCATTGGGTAACTATCCTTACCAAAATCAATCTTGCCTAAGGCAGCCATTAATTCGTACGGTGTTAAGAGTGGTTTCTTAAACGCAGTCCCCCAATCAATTGACAGCCTAGGACAAGCAACTTGCACCCAACTGAAATAGAGAAATAGTGTTTGCAAATTACGAGTTGTTGCAGCGGAAAAAAGTAAGATCTGCACAGCAGTTTTTACCAGTCAATATTTGGAAATAACTGTAGTTTTTGCGGCACAATCTCGGAAAGCAATAGACGCGTTACTTGTTTCCCGTGGCTTGTCAGCTGCTTTTCAAGGTCCTAAAAATCATTTTTCTCAAACCAGAAGCAACTAACCATTTTGTCGTTTACAAAGCTCAAAACCACCCCACAGTTCCAAAAGAATTCTAATGTACAAAGAAGGGAAAGCACTTCAAAAATTTTTGAGTTCCCCTGCCGACCAATAGTACCCTGAATTAGTCCAAAACTCTTTCCTCTTTTAGCTAATCGGACAGCGTATGACCGGTTCTCAATCATCACATCATAAGCATACTCTTCGCGTGTTAGCTTTCTATAAGGAAGATGTGTTTTAACAAGAAATAAAGACTCTTTAACAATTCCAAACATGCGCCAAAAGTAAAATAATAACAAATGAATAAAACCACTCAAGAAAACTTACTTGGAATATGGATTGTATTGATAAGCAGGAATTAGGGGATTCTGAATCATTATCGATTCCAAGTGAAACCTGCCATCGCCAACAAATCTGAAATGTTTTTGCAATGGGTTCGAAATTTCACTTCCAAGATCACTTATATCATTTGGATTTCACAGATTTCTACAAATCATCTGAGAAAAGTACAAAAATAATAAAACCCGTCACCCACTTACATTAATAATGATATGTCATCGGCAAGCTTTGGAGATGTGCAGCCCAAAATTTCTCCAGGGCTTAAAGGCTTACACTGAGGGATTTCTATCAAATAGCCCATCGTAGTAAGTTCTTGCCTAACTGTCTAAACTAAAAGCCGTACGCGCAGATTTCTTTGATCTAATCTCTTTATAATATTGGCTACAAAAGTA